AGTTAGGAGGCTTGTCCAAGGACGCCCAATTGGAAGGCAACAAAGATAATTATCAGTCTGCTTGACCCTACACTACACCAACCAGTCTCACAGAAAGTTTCTAAATAAAAGAATACTTGGGCTGAGCAAATGAGGCCAGCATGGCTGCCTGTACTCGGGAACATGCAGGAGGCATCTGGAATTCTATTTCGGAGCGCCATCCTAGAAGGCCCTTCTGTCATCCATTGCCACCTTCACCGTGCCGGAGATGCTGGCATTTATATTTTTAAACCATTTTTGTCAAAATTAATGCTATCGTTCTCAGGTGCACAATCCTACCCCATGGAGCACCTGCAGAAACAGGAATAAATTGTAAACAAAAAGATCCCGGTATTACATAAGACATTAAAATTGGAACAAAAGCTTAAATTTAAACCAGTTCAACTTCATCCGTAATAGCAAATGCTGAACAATGGAGAAACCCTTTCTCTATTCAAAGTCTTCCAAGAACAAAGGAAATTGTCCCCAAACAAAACAATAACCCAATACCATGTTACTAACAACCTCGTATTCATATAACCTTCTTCACTTTTACAAAGCTCTTCTACAGCTGCTATCTTATGGAGAGGTGGCTTCAGACACAAGTGTAATTATTAAACAAAACCAAGGGTTCATTATTGTTATAAGGTTATATTTGAGCAACCACCAATCTATCTTCCTCAGTGCAACCACAGTTAAACTTTTTCAAAAACAATTCTATTAAGATCGCTTCTGGGTCACAAGAAATGTTGGGATCTTTCTCATTGGCATCAGAAGGAAGATCCTAAGATGGCCTAGAAGACTTTCCAATCTGCCTCTATCCTTTTCTCGGCCTCATTTGTCTTCAGTTTTGGAGAGGCAGTGTAACCAAGAGATTAGGATGGCCTGAGAACACAGCTGGGTTCCCCCTTTGCAGCCCATCCAGTGAAGACTGGACCTCCCCTTGGCAGTGCTTTTACCCAGACATTCACCCTAGCAGCCATTTCAGGAGAGAAGCAAATGAAACACAACACCTTAGGAAACAGCGTTGCCTTTCTTCGGCCTCCTGTGATTGGAGCCGGTCGATAGTAAAATCAGAGGGTAGAGAGCAGTTCTTATTAACCTGCCCCGCAGTGCTGTGCCAGAAGCCCCACCGCAGACAGAACCTATCATGAGATCAGCCTAATGGCCCAGCCGTCACTACTGTATATAAGAGGAAATGGGGTTGAGGAAGGGGAAGGACCTACTCAAGGTCATACTACCATCGCACGTGGGCAGTAAGGCCTGAGCCCACATTCTCTCCGGTGTTCAGGGTGACTACTCCACAGACGTCTGCTCTAGTGTGAGAGATGGAAAAGTGTTCCTCAAAGTTTATATCTTAGACTACATTATGGAGTTACAATCTCTTGCTCTGTGTCCATTATCTGCCATTAGCATAAACATATACCCGTGTATATATATTACCTAAATCAGCTACATCTTAAATGAGCCTCCTCTGCAAACAGGAGCAGCACATGGAGTCTGCAGGGTTCTCATGAGATCACACAGAGAAGAGGAGTGGCCCAGGGTGAGGCAAAGGGAGGTGCTCAGTGAGCTTCAAAGTCCCCGTTAAATGCATGGAAAGTTCCCCAAGGGCAAGAATCAGGCCATATAACCTCACAGAGCTCAACGCACTCTTAATATGAGAGTAAAACCATGGCATCCACTATCATGTTAACAATACTTGAACGTCTATGTTGCCTCCACGTCTTCAAAGTGCTTTTATCAGCTCATGTGGCGTTATGAAGCAGATGCTTTTCTTCACATTTTACTGACGAAAAGAAGAGAAGCAGAAGGATGAAAAGAGACTTGCTTAGGGCACCACCACTGGTAACTGGCAGAGTCAGAAATTAAAATTCTACTGCTTAGAAAAAAAGTACTTGCTTTATTTTAGAATGATTTTAGATATATTGAAAAGTTGCAAAAATAGTACAGAGAGTTTCTTCGCCTAGTTTCCCCTACTGTTAACATCCTGCATTACATGGTGCATTTGTCAAAACTAGAAACCACCATTGCTGCACTACGATTAACTGAATCTCACATTGTACTTGGATTTTGCCACCTTTTCCCAGAAAGTCCTTTTTCTCTTCCCGGATCCATGCAGGGTACCACATTACACCAACTCATCATGCCTTCTTTGTCCCCGCTGGTCTGTGATCGTTTCCAGTCTTCCCTTTTCTCATAACCTTGACGATTTTGAGAAGTGCTGGTCAAGTGCTTTGTAGACCCTCACTTTTGTACAGAAAAGACTTCAGAATAACTAGGCAGGTTCTCATTTCACTAACCCACAGTTGCCCCTACTTAAGGGAAAAATTCTGTGAAGCCAAAACTACACGTACAATAATTCTGGTATCGCTCTTCAACTCTTAGCCATCGAGGGAACAGGAGAGCATCCTGCAGTCACCACATCCATCCTCTAACACCAACAGGACCATTTCAATGCTCTGGCCAACTCTGCCAAATGGCACTTGCTTCGATGATGGTCCACGTCTGCACTGCCAATATGGAGTCACTGGCCATACCCAGCTAGGAGCAATTGCAGTGTGGCTAGCAGGGTTGAGAAAAAGAATGTCTGATTATATATTATAATGCTAATTAATTTTTATTTAAATAGTGACTTGTGGCTGATGACCACTCCAGGCTTAAGTGCAGGGCCAGACAAACCCAAAGTTGAGTTAGTCCTTGAGGATAAAGGTTGAGAAGGGCGTGTTACCTTATTCAGACTGCTACAGCAAAGAAGAATTCATGATTACAGACGTGTTAGAAAGAAACATAAACCACAGAGCTGGGTGAGAGTCAGGCTTTAGAGGCCAGGGTTTCTCAATGTGAGTTCTTTGGGGACCTAGAAGTTCCACGGGGGTTTATAATGGGACAAATAGAGGAAGGCATTTCAGGTAAGAAAAGAAATCTGTGTGAGGGGTTATACATGTGCTTCCCACCCTCTTCTCAGTTCCTTCCTCTCAGGCCCTTCACCCGTAACAGCTCTGCTTTATTCCTATGAAATAGGGCAAGCTACTAGAAAAATAAGCAAGCAGAAAACACTATCTGACATGTTCATTGTATTTGTGTATTTATTTAGCCAATTGTAGACTTGACGAAAAAAACTAAAGCCCATCCTCCTGCCCCTCCCCTGCCCTCAAGAACAAAAACCCAGAAGTAGCTGTGTCTTCCTCCCACCTGCATCTCAGAGGTAGAACTGGCCTTTGTGTTTCAGGTTACTGAGACCAGCTGGGTGTTTGAGATGATTTGGAGCTGTGTCCCCACCCAAATCTCATGCTGAATTGTAATCCCCAATGTTGGAGCTGGGGCCTGTCTAGCCTTTCCACGTTCTTCCTCCTGCTTTAATTCTGACTGTGCTGGCAGCTGCTTGGATGGTGCCCATCCAGACTGAGGGCCATCTGCCCGTGCCAGTCCACTGACTTAAACGTTAATCTCCTTTGGCAGCACCCTCACAGACACACCCAGGAACAATAGTTTGCATCCTTCAACCCTATCAAGTTGATACTCAATATTAACCATCATGGCTACCTTGGAAGCCTTTTGCGGGAAATGTGAAGCCACGTACCTCTTGGACATTCACATTGGACTGTTGTGGGGGAAAAGAATAAACTTTTTCTTTGTTAAGTCACTGATATTCTAAGGTTCATTTGTTACAGCTCTAAGCATTACTTGACTAATGGTCATGCCTTAATTCCAGTTACCAAACTTCCAAATTGTATTTTATTTCTCTATGAAATAGAATTAAGGATACATATACCATAGGGCCACCATCAGATTAGAATACGTAGATGATAGCGTCATGGTCAGATCAGATTATGCATTCCATAGGGTCACAGTTGGATTAGAGCGTGTATCTCACAGGGTTGTGGCCACATTAGGAGACATTAACTATGCAGTGCTCCTGCACATATTATTATAGTAGACACTCAAAACTGGCAGCCACTGTTGCATTTACTTTTTTGCGTCAAGTACAGCCAATTTGGTTTCAGTTTACTTTTGGTTTGAAGCAACCTCAAAGTCAGCTTTATTTATCTGATAAAACATATGAACACCATTTTTATTATATTTGGGGTCTGTTATATCCAAAGCAATGGCTGGGTTGGTTTTCTGTTCCCATTCTGCACTGAGATCCAATGCACTAGCAGATGGCAATCCACTCCTTTCTGGCCCTACACTTAGAATCAGAGAAGGAGCTTTTGTTTTGGTTTTTTTTTGGAAGCAAGGTCTCACTTTGTTGCCCAGGCTGGAGTGCAGTGGCATAATCATAACTCGCTGCAGCCCTGACCTCCCAGGCTCAAGTGATCCTCCCACCTCAGTCTCCCAAGTAGATGAGAATACAGGCATGAGCCACCACTCTCTGCCTTAGGTGATGGTTTTTTTAAGCCTATAAGAATGCTTCTGTGACACCCATTGTAGTCACAGCCTGGCATCACCATGGACCAAATGTCTGTTCTCAAAGATGATACAGTTGGCATTTACAAAAGTGTGTCCATGATTCTTCCAGATAGAGAGTCTTGTTCCCAAGCCAAAAAGCTCATGATCAGAGAAGAGTAGTGTCAACTATGTCTATAGCATGTTGGTATTTACTTATGAATAAAGAAGTAGGAATGGCGAGAATGCATCCCTCCATCCTTCGTGTATTGAATTAACATTTGGGCAGCTATTGCTTTATCCCTCTCAGATTAGTATGATAAATAAAAAGTATGTTTTAACTTTTATTTATAAGTAGACACCTACAGGAAATTGCAAAATAGTACAGAGAAGTCCTCTGTACCCCTCTCCTGCTTCCCCTGGTAGTAACATCCCACGTAATTGTGCTACATATCAAAACCAGGAAATGGATATTGGTACAATGTGCAGGTGTTATTAGGATTTCAGGTGTGTGTGTGTGTGTGTATGTGTGTGTTTCTATGCAATTTTATTACATCTATAGATTTGTGCAGCCGTCAACACAGTGCTTTTGATTTTTATTCCTTTCTAAAATGTATACATATTCATTAGAGAAATGTTGAAAAGTGGAAGTAAAATAGCAATAACAACTGTAGTGCGACCCCTGAATAAAAACTCATTTTATCATCTGGGTGCATTTCCGTTCACACTTCTTCGTTTGCATATTTCTGTAATTTTTAGCTAATTCTTCAGCACCTACTATGTGACACTGATCACAATCATTCACATCATTGTCTTTTTGCTTCACTTAGATCTCTGACCAGATTTGCAAGTCAGATGCATTGACTCTAATGCAAGGATGTCATTATCTCTATTTTATACAAAAAAAGATTGAGGCTTCAGGAGAATGAATGACTTGCCCAAAGCCACAATGTAAATGAGTGAGACACTTGGTGTGACTTTGTAACCCATGCATCTCCACTCCAGTGCCTTTGTGCTTTCTGCTAGGTAACTGGCTTCTTCAAATACTCTGCAGTTGAGGAAATACTCTGCCCATGCATGATTGTATCAGCACGTCACCTCGAAGCCCTGCGGGTACAGCAAGACAAGCGTTCATACACCTATTTTAGAGAGAGAGAGAAACAGAGGTCCTGAAAGGTTACTGAGTTAACATCACATACCTCGTAAGAAGAAAAGTGGAATGGAACCCAGATCTCCTGCACCTTAGCTTAATGTTTACTGCTTTACTAAGTACCGCAACCAGAAAACCTTCCTGGTTCACATACCCCAGTTTCCACACCAGAGCTCTTGCTCTTGCCAGTCCTGGCTGTGGCTCAGAACGCTTCTTAACCCAGAGTACTAGACAGCACTCTCAATCCTTCACTTGGGCTTTCCAGCTGAACTCCATTTCTGCACAGCACCAACCTTGACCCTGCACATACTGTACAGCCCTAGGCATGGCCAGGGTGTTTGCTCTGGGCTCCACTTAAATGTCCCTTTGTGCCTTCCCACTTGGACGGGAAAGAGCCTTTATTCTAACTGTTATTTGTATGATTAAAAAACCTATAAAGGCACCTATAATATCTAAGTGGATCCTTAGCAATATCAAAGAGCAGAATTTCAATAAGGGCACTGCATTAAATCTGAGCTGGCAAGAGCTCATAATAAAAGTACAGTAATGAGCAAGCTTTATGATAAAATTAATGTAATTAATTAGTGTTTGTAAAGGACTTCAAGATCACAGGGTGAAAGGTGCCAGCCAGAGGAAAAGTCATCTTGGAAATTACCACTATTATCATCTTAAGACATGGCATATATTATGCACTATATGAGCATTTCCAAGCATATATTCCTGTCCCTGCTATTACTACATTAATTTACAGTCATTTGCAAATCAGGTTTCTGATTAGCCGTGGGAACCCTTTCTGGATCTCTAAGTGGTTGTGGTTATGGCTCAGGTGGTATTTTAAACTCTGCCCTGTGATAACCTATTAGAGGGAGCAGCCCTATACCCCACACATGCTCAAGTTTGAGATTCAGATTGCAGCTGACACGCATGAGCCCTAAGGTGCAGTTCTGTACTCCATGGCAAGTCTTCTGGGGTTTGGTTTGGTTTTATTAAAAGCAGGTCTGTGAACATTTTTTTTAGTTCTTACTTTTCCAACTTTCCAGCATTCATACATTACCGTTTCTCTCTGATCCAATACTATTCCCTGAGGTTGGGACCACCTCTTTGCTGTCACTGCGTTCCCCAGAATGCATGGAACTGAGTCTGGCATGCGTTAAATCTTCAGGAATTTTGGCTGATGGGGAACGTTCAGCTCAAAGTTTCCATGTCCAAAATAAGCCTTTTATTTCTAATCATCCCAAAACTGGATTATCCTATTTGAAACCGGAATACCATATTTCTTAACTGGACCACACAATTTCTATTGAGCGTTGGAGGTATATTACAAACAATTTAAGCTAGTTTTTTTTGATAGTAAAAAGTCATACAAATGGGGAATTTGAACAATCAAGAGAAATAGGACATTTGTAGCTGTTGCTTTCCCTAAGCATTTTTGCCTTCTTGGCCGCCACCACTGTCATCATCTCAGCTACCAATGTCCTTGTTCAAAGTTCCTGAGAAGTTGAGTTTTTGCCAAGTCCATCATCAGAAAGTGAGAAGGTAATGAACTAAATCAGTTTATAATCTACAAACATGTACAGGAGACCATACACAAGGGGTGACATGGAAGAGACCCTCCTTCAGCCATACAAAACGTATGGCAAGGAGTTTCACAAGCACTCAACCTAGTGACAGATCTCCTGGCTTTGAGTTCTGACTCTGTCTTGTGTTGCTAGTGTGATCCTGAGCAAGTCACTTTCTCTTTTCCTCAATGTGCTTCTTCATGTGTCAAAAGGAGGACGGGAGAAGGAAGTGAGTAGGGATTGTACCAGATCAGGCCTGGCCAATATCATAGTCACCCTCCCCTCAACATACACGTACACACACTCACACACACACAAACACACCCCTCCAGGGTGTACTGTGGCAGACATAGCCAATCCATCACTGAGCCCTTTCCCGCTGAGCCCAATCACAGCCTCAGAATCTCCCAGACTGCCCTCAGTCACTTCTACTCCCTAACCCCATTTGCCATTTGAGAAGAAACTATGGTTCCCTTTGGCTCCAAAGATGCAAATCTGGTTGCAATTTTGCAAAATGCTGTTTCCAATAGCTTTGCAAGAAAACATCAATGTCTAAACGAATACATTTATTTGTTCCCACGAAAGCTTTTCTGGCTGCGACATTGTATGAAACTTTATAGAAATTATAATAACCTTTAAAAACGAACTAAAATACAAACATCATTATTAGAATGTTCAATTAGAAATGCAAACACACTCTGCTAAACAATCTCCAAATGTAATTGTTTAATAACAAACCATAAATTAAAGAGAAAAGTACAAAACAAAATGCCCAGGGAACAAATCGTGCTCTTTAGTTGTTGGTAAAAGCCAAGAGCTTGTTTGGGTTCTGCGAACATGCTCTCAAATGGCTTGTTCACTGAAGCTAGGTCTTATATTACACGTGGACCGTTTCTGAGCTGAGGAAATCTCAGAATATTTTCTCAACTGTTGACATTCACATATTGATATGATTTGGCTCTGTGTTGCCACCCAAATCTCTCATCAAACTGTAATCTCCAGGCGTCAGAGGAGGGGCCTAGTGGGAAGCAATGGGGTCATGGGGGCGGATTTTCCCACTGATGTTCCTGTGAGTAAGTTCTCACAAGGTTTTATGGTTTAAAGGTGTGTGGCACTTCCCCTTCACCCTCTCTCTCATGTTCCACCATGTAAAGACATGCTTGCCTCCCCTTCATCTTCCAGCATGATTTTAAGTTTCCTGAGGCTTCCCAACCATGCTTCCTGTTAAGCCTGTGGAACTGTAAGTCAGTTAACTTTTTTCTTCATAAATCGCCCAGTCCCAGGTAGTTCTTCATAGCAGTGTGAGACCGGACTAACACTCCTATCATTTTGGAAAACTAAGAAATCTCACAACAGTAGTTCTAACAAATATATTAATGTTTTATAGAATCTCACTTTTCCATAGTGTTTGTTCTATAAAGAGTTTTTGCACACACACACACCATCTCCTTACATCTTTACAACAATCTCATGAGGTCTGTGTTATTATCCTTCCTATGTACAGATGGGGAGATTGGGTCTGAGGGAAAGTAAGTCTCAGGCCCAAGGTAGGTGAGTATAAACCCAGGGTGGAACTCAGAGGTGCCTGACTCAACAGATTCATAAAGAGAAATGCAGGAAGCTGAGCCCCAGAGTCACCGATGAAGTAATAGTTCAGCCACTTTGACTTACAGAGGAGCAAGAGGAAGCACAGAAAGCAAAGGGACTTACCCAATGTCATAAAGCAAAGGAAGACCAGACTTCAAACACAGGTCAACAGAGTTCTCATCACTAAGAAGAGATGGTCATGACTACCTGGGGAAAACAGGCCCCTGGAAAGGGGATGCTGCATGCAGTGAATGCAGACACGGTAATTAAAGAAGCAGGATCTAGGAAGGACGCCCTTTGGTAGATCCGTCAAGGACATTTTATTAGAACACGGTCACGCCCATGCATTGACCTATCACGCCCATGCATTGATAGGTCACGCCCTATCAAAGGTCTAAGGCTGCTCCTTAGATTAATTACAATGGAGACCCATAAGGCCCTCAAGACCAAAAATATTAATCATCTGTCTCTTTACAGAAAAAGTTTGCCAAACCATGTGTGTGGTAAGGCTGAGGTGTGAAGATCTTAATGTGGCTCAACTTTGGTAGATGACCTTGGGATTGCATGTGTGACCTTGAGCAAGTCCCTGCTGCCTCTCAGCCCTCCATCTCTCCATCTGCATAAGGTCCTGGCTTGGAAAGCATCCTTTCCAAGGCCCTATCAAATGTAACCTTCTATGTCTATTCACTCTAAATTACCCGCCCCTTGTATGCCTTCTGAGATTTCTCTGGTTCCAAGACCACGTTGGATGACCAGCCTTGGTAGCTCCACGGGTAACTAGACCGAGGGGGAACAAAACAAAGGGAGCCAAATGTAGGCAAGTTCCACAGTCTGAAAGGTTCTTAGGATAAAAATGTTGGCAAGATCAAAGCTTCTGGGAAGCTATTTCTCCCATCTTTTGAAGAAAAAATAGATTTATAAAATGCTTCCATTATCTACTTTGATTCTCACTTGCCTCTGAGGCATGATCTATAATTTATAAATAAGAAAACTGCAATTCAGAGTAGAGACCAACCTAAACAGCCGAGCATCACTGGGCATTTTAGCTCACAGAGGCCTTGGTGTCCTCACCCAGCGCTCTTTCTATAAGTCACACATGACCACTAGTTGATACTGAAAGCAATTTATTTTCATATTTGAAAATATCATTATCGGCCAGGTGCGGTGGCTCACACCTGTAATCCAAGCACTTTGGACGCCAAGGCAGGCGGGTCACCTGAGGTCAGGAGTTCAAGACCAGCCTGACCAACATGGTGAAATCCCGTGTTTATAAAAAGAAAGAAAGAAAAAAGAAAGAAAGAAAGAAAGAAAGAAAGAAAGAAAGAAAGAAAGAAAGAAAGAAGAAAGAAAGAAGGAAGGAAGGAAGGAAGGAAGGAAGGAAGGAAGGAAGGAAGGAAAGGAGAAAAAGAAAATATCATTATCGATCATTTCTGTTAGCCTCAGCATAAAATGCCAGATTTGTTCTCCATGATCAACCTGAGATCTGTAAAAATAGCTTTCTAAATTGTGTCATTCTTCTGTTCTGTGCCATTGAAACTGGAGGGAGACTCAAAATGCAGAAAAATAGAGAAGTTCTCCAAATGCCCATGGTTCATGCATATATTTTGCTGGCAGGCAAGTAGCACCCTGCTCAAGGTTACCATTGGGCAGGGTGGGGAGGCTGACGCAGAATCACAGCTGCCCTCAAGGAGTCCACTGCCTAACAGAAGAGGCAGAGAAGACAACTAAGTGGCCTGCACCCAACTACAGGGTAAAAGTTGGTCAATAAGAGTGGGTTTACCCTAGCTTGGAAGCAAGACCTGGGTTTCAGACCACGGCAATGTAAGAGTAATATTTTCCCTCAGTGGTCATATTAGACCATGATCAAGACTGTTTACTGTCACCATCTCCAACTTTAGCAGCTACAAAGTAAATTATAGCTGCACTTGGCCTAAACCCTATATCTACAACTATATCTATCTATTTGTTGAGGATTAACTTAGAATTATAAGATATGCTTAGTAGTATTACCATCGTCATCATCATTATGATCATGATAATTTACATTTATATAGGGGAGGCAGTGATCATTCTCATTCTCTATTGTTCTTCCACAAAACTTAATGACTTAAAACAATAACCATGTCATTTATCTCACTATTCTGTGGGTCAGGAATTCAGACAGAGCTTGGCTAATGGGCTAATGGTTCTTTTGCTCTCTAGGCTGTTGACTGGGTTACTTGGGGATATTTGATGGGAGTCTGCTCTGGTCTGGGGAGTTCAATACAGCCATACTCACATGCTTGACACTTTGATAGGGACAGCTGGAAGACTGGGCTTGGCTGCCCTTCTCCCTACAGTCTTAGAGCCTCTGTGTGTGTCTTTCCAGGAGAATAATCAGACTTCCCACATGGAAGTTCAGGGCACCAGGAATCCCAGATGGATGCTTTCAGTCCCATTAAGGGTAGACCTGAAACTGGCATAGCATCATGTCTGCTGTATTGTAATGGTCAAAGTATTCACAGTCCATCCCAGACCTAAGGCAAGGGAAAAATAGATCCCTCCTCTGGATAGGAGAATTGTCAAACAATTTACAGCCAACTTTAGTCCATCTCAGTTTACCCTCTGGTCACAAATTATTTGCATACTCCCACACAAAAAAATACATTCTCCCCTTCCCAAGACCCCTGAAGTCTCATCCCAATTCTGCAATGCCTTAAAGCCTAACATTTTATTATCTGAATTAGGTACAGGTGTGCATGATGGGGCTTGGGTGCAAATTCCCCAAACATAGTTCTTTTCAATCGGTGGACTAAAGGAAAAAGCTACCTGTCCTCCACATATCTAATGTATTGTGTTGAAACAAAAATAGAATAATTACAAATGGCATGCTTGCTCTAATGGGGGAAAACAGGAGTGCCTAGAAATTCCTGGTCTCTGGCAGCTACAAAATTCAGCCTGGCACATGTTGCTAGTTGAGTGGGGTCCAGTAATGTTCCTTTTAAATAATTCTTCATGGCTCTTGGCTCTCCCTTCTGGATCATTCTTTATTTTCCATAGGAAATGGTTCCCATTTGCAATCAAGTAGCCTTAGTAGCCTGCTTCTGCCCTGTGTGAGTAGAAGATGAGGTATCCTAAGACTGCTTTTCATTTGATGGTGTCTCTGTCACTGTTTGCCCACACTGGCAGTGCTTCCACCAATACAATTATTGTAGAGCTCTGTGGGTTTTCTATGACTCTCATTAGGGATTCGTGTTAGTCTGTTTTGCCTTTGCTCTAAAGGAATACTCAAGGCTGAGTAATTTATAAGGAAAAGAGATTTATTTGGTTCACAGTTCCGCAGGCTGTACAAATATAGCACCAGCATCTGCTTGGCTCCTGGTGAGGCCTCAGGAAGCTTTTAGGCATGGAGAATGGGAAGGGGAGTATGCACGGCAAGGGAAAAAGAAAGAAAAAAGAGGGCCCAGACTTTTTTAAACATCCAGATCTCATGCGAACTCATTACCATGGGGAAGGCACCAAGCCATTTATGAAGGATCGGCTCCCATGACTCCAACACCTCTTACTAGGCCCTCCTCCCACACTGGGTATCACATATCAACATGAGATTTGGAGAGGACAAACATCCAAAGCATATAAGGTTTGCACCATTAGATTAAAATTATAGTCACCTTTCTTTCCAAGAGAGACTCTAAAAGGGACTCTACCTTCATAGAAACCTTTATGTCCAGCTGAAGAAGTCTACTAGGCTATGCCTTTAAAATCTTACCAGTTACATTTTTAAATCGTACTGACTTTTCAAAAAAAAAAAAAAAAAAAGGTGGGAGGGGGAAAGATGGGTGTATCTTAGAGCCACATCTTTAATATCTTTATACCAATAGGCCCGTGGATTCGGTCTTTGCCCTGAGCCCACCTCTTCCACTGAGGACTTTTTGCTGACTAGAAAGATTGCCCTGGCTCTTGATATTTCCTCTAAATTCTGCTCAAAATGGAACAATTTTTCCTTAGTTCATCTCTGTCTTCTTGTACCTTACCCTATGCCACTAGAAGAAGCCACTTGATGTTTTCAGCATTCTGCCTGGAGATGCCTTTAGCCAGATTCACAGCATCCTCCATTGTCCCTCCCATTATCCACGTTTCTACCAATAATAGTTTTTCTCGTCTGTCTGCCAATTCTTTACTTGGGGGCTCTTTCCTCCAGTCTCCAGTAATGCTTTCCTCATCACCCAGGAAGCTCTCACCCAGTTTCCTCAAGGCACTTCCAACCCAGGCTCAAGAGCAGAATTTGAGTCTACCTCTTGAAAGAAGAACTGACAAAGAATTGATGTGCAGCTTATTAAAGTGGACCAAATATGGCCCGAGAAGGACTCTGTGCTTCTGTATTTGAGTCCTTGTGGGTGAACTGCAACCTAGTTTAATAGGAAGACAAGATCGAACACCTAACTTCAGAGTTACCTGTAACAGTAACTAAGTCTTGGCCATTCATACACTGCTGGCCATACTTCAACCAGCAGTCATACTTCAACCACTCGTACACTGCTGAGTGTTCAAACTGTGTTCCAATAAGGCAAACACCGAGCTGAAGCCAATCCAGTGGTTCCGTACCTCACTTTTGATTTCTCTACTTCATTCTCCCCCACTTTCTTTTGTCTATACATTTTCCACCACGTGGCTGTGCTGGAGCCTCGGAATCTGCTGTGATTCTGGGGGCTGCTAAATTTGCAAATCATTCATTGCTTAACTAAACTCTTTTAAATTTAATTCGGCTGAAGTTTTTCTTTCTTCAATTGTTAACACATCACAAGGGTTAGATCTTGACATGCGGCTGCTTGAGTTCGAATCCTATTTCTTCTGCCTACTAGCTGGTGTCATCTTTGCCAACCTATGTGTTGTTCTATTTTACCTTCTGTAAAATGGGTATAATAATAATTCCTACTTTACAAGTTGCTGTGAAAACTGAATGAGTAGCATTTTTGCCTTTGGACCTTCCATTTAGTTAAACAAATACTCACTGAGGTAGTGGATACATGCCGGGCACCATGCTGGGTGCTGAGATGATGGAATGATGAAGAAATGGTTCATTCTTCGAGGTGCCCTTCATCTAATGGAGACATCTATGATTAGGAAATAACCATTATTTATTTGATTTTAAGCAGGTAAAGCTGAGTCTCAGAATGTGAGTGAATTTCTCAAAAACGTGAAGTTGATTCACAGGTAAGGACAGTGGTAGTGCCAATGCTGGTAACCCACACCACCTCCACAGCCCCACTTTCCTCTCTGGCTAGGAGGGGCTCAGTTTCACTTCCACTTCCTCCACTGAGTCACTGGCAACTATTTCAGGAAGTATTGCAAGGTTAAATAAAGACATATCTTTAAAGAATTTTTATATATTTTATTCATAAAATGTATGAATAATATACATATATTTAATTCAATGCATGTTATAATTGATCCACACTTACACATTTAGGATTCATAATTATTTAAATCATGTCTTGAGATGACCATTTATTGCATTTAAAAATTTTGCAGGCTACCCAAAATAGATGTCACTTTGACATAAACTTCCCGATTTCTAAATCTTGCTTCCATAATGCTCAAGGCGAAAAATTTCATCTAAATATTATTGAATTCCAGCACGACATTAGCATGCAGAGATATTTACAATAACAGAGCCATTACAACTCAATCAAAAGCTGATTTCAGCCAGAATTATGCAGAATTAAATCTTGCAGGATTCAAATTATTAAAAATCAGAGACTCAATAAAGTGTGGTCTGGAAGTCCCATTTATCAAGGGAGTCGAAGTGCCTCTACAGTTATAGTGACTTTTTCATATATATTCTGCAAGAATTTGCATGCATTTTAAAAGATCAGAGTTTAATTCTTATGGAATTCAAGTAACTATGCTATATTTATAAGGCAATGGAAGCCAGCTCGGAAACTGTTCTCTGGTTTCTTTCTGTATCTCACATTTTAAATGCATTGGTTTTTATATCTGGTTCCCACTGAGTAGAAAGATCCACAATGAGGCCACAAAAATGGAGAGAACACCTTACTCCAATAAAGGCCAAATCAGGGTGCCATCGAGGTAGTCACAAGAAACCCAAAACCATTTATAAAGCTTAAAATGCAACCAACACATTAGAAAACTCCCTCTTTTGCTGGTTTGATCAAACCAAGACTATTTATTTACCTACCTGTTACATTCTGTCTCTCAGAACATTTCATCTGAATAGACAAAGAGTAAATTTCTAAGAAAGTAGAAAGGAAGAGAGACAGAGAGATACAGGAGAGAGGAGAGAAGGGGAGGGGAGGGGAGAGCAGAGGTACATCACCATGAACCTTAATGTCCAGGAATCCAATTCTCTTGACAAACAGCATTTATTTAACATCATTCTGTGCCAAAGACAGAGATGAATAAGGCAAGTTTTGAGCCTGCCAGCCCCTCGCAACCTAGCTGGGATGACTGAAACATGAATAGATATTGGCAGTCTGGTATTAACGGTGACTAGACAGATATAGATGAACATTCATATCATTCAGGAGTACAATCAGCTGAAAATTATTAAAAATGAAGTCTGCCAACAGGCCACCCAGGCATAGGACAGTCACTTGTTACTACACTAAAGAATCCAACTGTCTCTCTACCCTCTACTAGGTCATTCTTCGTGTGTGAGTTTCCATTCTCATGCATTTTGCCACTTGGTTGCAAGAAGGCTGCCTCACTTACAGATATTCCACCTGCATTCCAGCCGGAAAAATGGGGAATGAAAAAAGTCAAAGGAGGGACACCTTGCCAGAAATTCTGTCTGCACTGACAAGAACTCTGTCACATGAGAGCCCTTAGCTGCAAGATGGTCCGAAGAAGTGAATTTTCAATAAAGATGAACAGAAAATGGGTGTTAGATAGGCAACCAGCAATGTCTTCCATGGGTCAATAGAAGCATAGAGGGAGAGAGTCCAATAAGCTGAAATGGAGGGAAGATGATATCAAAGGTTTCTGAGAATGTATATTGTTGGAGAAGAAGCCATTTTAGTCAGATAAAGAGAAAGGATTTCAAGAGAGGCAATGCTCAGCCAAGCACTTCACTTTAAAGGCATAAAGAGCACTGGTGTGTTGAGTTCTCATGTGCCCCGCACTGTGCATGCCTCACTACATTTCCTGATTACAGTAGTCCTATAGTCTCTGTATTTTCCTGATGAAAAAACTAAGGTCTGAGACAATTACGTGATTTGTCCAAGGTCTCACGACCAACGCTTGTCATGCAAGGTGGTCTTTAAAGGTGGCCTCACTTCCTAGTCAGCCTGGCTAGAATGTGGGAGATAAATTAAAAGGAGATAAACCTCTGCAGGGAGGCAAGATGTGACTCTTCCCCTGCCAGGTTTTTCATTCCACAGTTAATAAAAAGTCATGAATGCCTGGGAAGCACCAGGGACCATACTGGGTATGGTGGCACAGAAACAAATGAAGTGCAGTCCTGGCAATGTACGGAGGCAAACACATTGAAACATAATTCACAAATAAGGTCATGGGTTCTGAAGGGCCTGGGGAGTTTCCCTGAGCAGCCCCTGACCAAGGACAGTCATTCTGCTAGGGCTTGCTGCCACACCCATTCCAGGCACCCACGTCCTGACCCTACGTGACAGTGGTCCACTGAGTCTTGCTCCTCTTCTGATCTTTAAAGGATGACCTCGGCTAGGCTTTCATGAAGGTGGCAAAGGGAATCAGTGAAACATCCTCAGAAAAATGACCCCAAAGCCTTCAGCAGAACTCCCTATGCAACAGTTACCATCCCTTGCTCTCTAGGTTCTAGACTTTGCTCTCCAATCTTCCCAAAAGATGTTAATAAAACCCTGTCTCTGCTGAGCCTGGGAGCACCTTCCTCCAGGCAATTTTGGTTTTCTAAAGAAGCCTTTGAGTAAGGTTTGACGCCTGTGCCAAGTAATGAGTCCAACTCTTTATGCACACAACCTCACTCAAGTGGACCCTGTGCGCATTATTTTGCACAGGGGTGTAGAGCCATACTGTAGGTAATTCTTAGTCATTCTGACCACAGTGCCTTTAAGTTCAGGCTTCTGCTGCTAAATGTGCACGTGGTATTTCTCTCACCCTCAATCTCTTGGTCTCCCTTCCCACTTTTTTGGTAACTCTGAAGATGCTGCCGTCAGGGAGACAGGCCTCTTTGCTCCTGTGGTCTTAGAGAAAACCCCAGAGCCTCTGCTTCTCTGCAGAGGCTGCTGATATGTCTGATTGGCAGGAAGATAGAGTTCCAGCTTGGACCCGGAAAAAGAAAAGGAGCTTGCCAGTGGGGCAGAAGCTGTGGACTCAGCGATGCTCATTACAGATCTGTCAGACGGCTCTCCTGGATAGTGTCTCACTCACTGCATAAGGTAACTGCAGGGAGGCTGTAGCGGCCAGAGGGATGGAGGGGTCAACATCCCACCAACATCCAGCCCAATGCCAGGCACACTGAGCCCTCAGAATATGGTGCCAATGATGAGACAACATGGACTGACTGCTTCTTTCTCTAGAACCTTCAGAATGCATGGCAGTCCCAGCTCATGTGTGTGAGGAACTAGGAATACAATACCTGAACATGTTTCCTCCTTTCCTTTGACCACCAGAAAGCTTGAAACCTGTGTTGAGATCTTTCTCTACCAACTTTAGAGAAATATATGTTAAAAAAACATGCATTTGTGGCAGCACTATTGCTCTGCCAATATCTTCCCTTCTTCCCCCAGCCCCCACTGTGATGCTTCTCCAACCCATTGGTTTGGGGCTTGGCCTTGTGATTTGCTTTGACCAATGGAATGTTAGAAAACACATCTTAAATAGAGGCCTCTATGATGTGGGCATTTGAACTCAAGCCAGATTCCAGGAGAACACACCCTTGGCCTCTGGTCCAAGGAGAATGACAGACATACAGACCTGGACACACCTGAAGCCCAGAGCCAGGCCCAGTCAACCCAAAGTCTGATAACACGATAATAAGTTTCCTCTCCCCATGCCAGCTGATCTACAAACCAAGGAACAAAATAAATAAGTGCTTGTGAGTGTCACCCACTGAGTTATGGGGTGGCTTGCCATGCAGCTGTATTGCGGCAACACCTAATCCAGACACTGTCACCTCTGCTTTTCTTACTACACACTCCCATAGTAAGAGCTTTTTGAAGAATCGTTATTTCATTAAGTAGTTTGTTCATTCACTCACTAATTTAACACATGCTCATTGAATGTCTAAGGCACCCGGCACTGTCCCAGGTGCTGAGGACTAAGCACAAAGAAGGCAGGCAGGGCCTGTTCTTCCAGCACTTTCTCTCTAGTGGATTTGCAAGTGGCGTCAGCTTCTTTTCCAAGTGCTGCTGACACCTGTCCTCATGAATGTCTTCGCTTTCTCATCTCAAATGATTCACTAGATGAGAAAAACAAGCTTTTATCTCACGTGGGTATGGGGAAGGGAACAGTTCCTCCAGAAAGTCGTGAGAGACTCAGCAAGTCACAGTTAAGAAGCATTGGAAGCTCATTCATTTTGCAAAATAAAAAAAAAAAAACTTAGTACTGAACTCTGTTGACATCTCTAAACCTCAGAGAATGAGCCATGGTTATATGCTAGATTCAAAACAATTTCAAGCTTTTTTGTATGAATAGATGACTCATCTAACACCAGAAAGGAAAGGCTAGGTTTATTTCTCAGAATAAAGCTTGCAATTCACATTAAAGGCCAGGATTTCATTTGCTGTTGTTTCAAACATAGAGTGACTAAACATTACTTATAACTTATTAAAGTACATCTATCTATGGCATCGGGGCCCACACTATAGCTGTTCCAGGCCTTGGGCTTCAGGGCGGCCCACGTTTTCCAAGTAATGAATGACCCAGGTGCTCAGAGCATGCATGTTGAATAATGAAAGAAAGAATGGTTGACAGTTTATGAACCACCACCCTCCGCCCCTGCAGCTGGAAGACAGCAAGCCAGACATCCTCACAACAGATGGGTTTGGGCCAGCAACCCAAGAGATATTTGTCAGAATATTTGCTCTGCAAGGTGATAAAGCACAATCCTCGAGAAACACTGAGCTGACGGAAGTAAAATGGGATTTTTCTGCTGCAGGACTTATCAGAGGCTTTGCTAGACTAACACTCTCTGAAGTCCCCCAAAGGGGAACTCTGTGATGCAGTGTCCAAATTCACTTGGCCTGGGAAGCCTATTGCTCATGGAACCTAAACCGGGCACTGTTGACTCAGAGCATCCATCCACACCCACCTGTGTGCTTCACATCCCAGCATCCCCAGGTCTTCAAGAGTTTAGACAATCCCAGAACTCCCTAACCAGCACACCTATTCAGTCCAACTACAATTAAAGGCAACTTGGAATAAAACCAAAATGACAAAGACTTTCTTTTTTATGAAACAACAAAAAAAAGACCTTCTGGATTGCCAAATATCTTTCAATAACCTCCGCCCTGGAACACACATTCTCTACGCATGCCCCTAAAGATATACATAAAGGCTCTGGTTAATTGTGTTTGCAATTCTGAGGTATAATTTTTCCTCCCCTTTTATATGGCAGATTTGGTTAAGGTATATCTATTTTTGTTTTTTATTGGGTTTGAGTTTTCTATTTTCAAAAAAAGCAGTTCCCTAAGAGTGAAGAGCTGTTAATTTTGCATTGACTTGCATTATGCAGGTGTGACATTCCAAAGTTGATGGCTCTTAAACACAGCCCTTCATGTGACTTCTGTCATATCGAAAGCAGATTAAATTATGAGCTGTATGGGTCCAGTATATTTTGTTGTATTATAATTCTTTGGAAACTGGTAATTCATGCATGGCATATATGAGAACTCTCTATTAACCAGAGTATTTGATTAATGAGCCTGGCATGTCCTTTCATCATGCTGAGTTACGGATTTTACTCCACCTGGGTGGATGCAACACCAAAACCCATTCCGTTTTCTTGTTTTCCTTTACAGGATTGTAACAGCACCGTAAAACAGCAACAGCAAATACTGTGGGACCTGGTGACAGAAAACGTGGGTTTCAGCCCCAGTTCTGTGACCGTGTTTCTAGGATAATACCTAGTACCTAACAAATGTTCAATAAGCTATTATTGGATGGAAGAGTAGATATACTGATAAATTAATAATTGAAAAAATAGAAATGGAAGAAAGAGACTTTGTGACTCCCCCTTTGTTCAATGCCCTTTTTCTCTATTTTCTTAGGATCCTGTGCAGACCTCTAATAGTATTTGTGACATTATACTGTCCATGTCTTCATTTTTGGCTTCCTCATTGATTGGAGCTCCTTGAGAGAAGGGGCTGTGTCTTAGTCCTTTTTCTGTTTCTAGGATTCAGTGGCTCCCAGCCCTTCAGTTAGCATCCAGTAAGTGGTAAGTATTTCTGTTTTTGCAAATGAACAAGCATTGGTTGAATACAACAGAAAGGAAGTAATGCTTGCATTAAAGAGTAATAAGAGGGAAGTCCTGATGTTGTGATCTGGAGTGAGAAGACTGGGCAGAGGAGCACATCAGAGCAGAGTTCACGGAGATAGCAGTCAAGCTCAGGTGGTAGAAAGAATGGCAGTAATCACAACAAGGGCCAAAGCGAGGGGGAAAGGCCTCAATGTCTACTCCTGACATTTTCACATCTTAGATCTCCCAACTGCCCTGAGACAGTAGGAGAAGATCGAAATTCACATGTAAATTTGTGCCCAGAGCAATGACAGGGATGTGGTCGATACTCTGTCAACATTTGTCTTAGGAAAGAATGTCTTGATCCTTTTATAGTAAGAGACATAGGATTGCCAGCAAAGTCAGCTACTATAGAAACGAAAGGTATCGCCTTGGAAAGAACCTCAAACAGCAAACAAAGCACTTGGGTATCAGAATTTATGTGTGACCTTAGGCGAGTCCCTTGCTCACCCTGAACCTTAACTTCCACACCTGTAATGAGCAGGTGAAATTAAATGACCTGGAAGATTGCTTTCAAATTCTGTTTTGTGATTCAATGCTTCCAGATATTTCAAATTTGGGATAATGATAAACTGTATGCAGACTGTTTACTTCATAATATTATTCCTTAAAATCTTTCCCAAGGAAATAATTTGACATTCAGACAATGATACCTATGTACAAAGGTGATCTCTGTTAATATTAACTACAAAATGGAAATACCCTGGATGTCCAACCACGAGGAATGGCCAGGAAAAGTATGGCACGTATTTATGGTAGACTATGGAGCCGATCTTAAGATTCATGTTTTAAAAAATAGATGCAACATGTCGTATTGAGGAAACCATATAGCTTAGTCCTCAGTGGATTCCAGAGCCCAGTCCTTGCATGTGACATGTGATTCTGGACTTTGTCATTTATTTGCTACTGTGAACTCAAGAATAGTACTGTCCCTCTCTTCGCTGAAGTTTTCTCGTCTGAAAGTAGGGGAAATAAAAGAATCTATCTCATAAAGTTATTGCAAGAACTCTATGAAGTAATTTTCATAAAGCATATAGAATACTACTTGGCAGATAGTAATTTATAACTGCTATTATTATATATGATTACAAAAATAACTACTTGGGAAGGAATATTTACTATACGAGTCAAGGATTATGCACACTGAAAGAAAAAGGTAATATGTTTTCAGTGATGGTTAGATGATGAGATACCATAAGATCATTTTAATTTGTTTTCTTTATATTATTATGTACTTTGCTAAAATTTCTGCAATAAACAAACATGTAAAAATCATAACCAGGAACAAAATGGAAGCCAGTGTGATTTTCGTTTAAGTCACTCCCTGTGTATAGAGGAGATAGTGTGCTGTTTGGACTTCTATAAGCCTAGGATGGGATCCTACTTTTTCACTTATGAGCTATGTGGCTTTGGCCGTATTGTAAGTCTCCCTAAGGCTCAGTTTTCTCAACCAGATACTGGGGGCAATGGGATAGTATAAGATAACATATAACAATATGCCAGGTGCTCAATACATTTTCTTTCCTCGTAGAGAAGCTATTTGGTTCTCACATTCATTAGAGAAGCTATTTGGTTCTCACATTCATAAATACTATGGGTGATAAAATGAGTTTTAAGACAGGGCCTGTGTCCCTGAAGAGCTTGATATTTCACTAGGGGCCCAAGAATAAGAAACCTAGACAATGAGAGAAGAATAAAGTCATAGACTGCACTCCGGCATCGTGAGAATTCAGAGACGCAGATCACAGTGGCTCTAGAGTCACCTGGGAGGACTTCATGAAAAAGAAAGGATTGGAAAGAGGCTTTAAAGAATTTGGATATGTAGCAAATACTAATTAAGATTGTGTTCAGTTACCAGATACAAATCCCTTGCCACACTGACTTAAACATGTAAAGGTATATTCTTTCATCTGTGAGAATTCCAGCTGTAAGCAAACCACTAGATCATTGGTTCCTAGCTGTTTCTACTGCCATCTTCATAGAATGTCACCTTATGGTCCACAATGGATGCTGGAACTCCAGCCATCATAGCAGAGTTCCAGGCCAGCAGAGAAGAGCAGCAGGAGAGCTCATTCCCTCTGAGCTTGAACCAGTGGCCTTCACGGCTTTGCCACGTCTCCTAAATATCATTGGCCATATTTATTGCAAAAAAGGCTGTAACCTGTTGCTTTGTACTCTGGAGGGCAGTGTGCCCAGCTAAAAATCGACAGCCTCTGACTAAGAAAGGAGAGGCAAAGAGTGGCCTCTGCCAGTTGGGAGAAATGCCAGTTCAGGGG